TGACTGTAAGCACAATGCCAGGTTGCAAGGTCTGTAGTCTCCATACTTACACTGAACAACACCGATATTTATGTTAAAAGAACAAAGAGAAGTCTAACAAAATGTGTTAGCAGCAAAATAATAAGGTACTAAAGATCTAGAAAAATTAGTTCCAAGTCTTCTTACCTGATATTCATTTTCTGCATGTTCTATGATTTTAATAAACTCCTTGGCAGTTTGGACTTCATTCTAATGGAGGAAGAGGGGAAATAGGATTTTTTTTTAAGTATAAGCAGTCAATAAAAGGATACTGAAAAGACCATCTTAAAGAAATCTTAAGATATGTAGAACAGTTTATAGTTTGTCAAGTGCTCCCATGCACGTTACCTTCTTTGATTCTCACAACCCTGTGAAGTAGATCTGTTATTAGCATCACCTCCATTTTGCAGATGAGAAAACAGAATCCTCGTAAGTGACTAGACCAAAATTATATGGCTCTTGAAAGATAAAGACAGGGTCTGAAAAAAGACCCCATGCTCTTTCCAATCTACCACAGTATGCCCAAATGTCTTGAAATATTTTTTTTTGAAGATTTTTATTTATTTATCAGAGAACGAGAGAGAGCGAGCATAAGCAGGGGGAGCGGCAGAGGCAGAGGGAGAAGCAGCCTTCCCGCAGAGCAGGGAGCCCGATGTGGGACTTGATCCCTGGACCCTGGGATCATGACCTGAGCCGAAAGCAGCTGCTTAACCGACTGAGCCACCCAGGCGCCCCAAATGTCTTGAAATTTTTATGCCTTGAAAATATCTCTAGTTTAAGATGATATAAACAATGCCCTCACCAATATTAGCCATATATGTTAAACTCATATACTCCTCTATTTGCTACTTACGATGTTCAACCAACCACATTTTGCTTTACATGATTCAGGTACAATATTAACATATCCTTTTCACTTTGGTTCATTTTTCATTCTCTCTTCATCATTAAGTAGAACAGAATTAAAAGGTTAAGATTTTTCTGCCTAGAGCAGCAGTCCCCAGATTCTTTCAGTCAAAACCATCTTTTGTTTTCACAACAACACTAAGACAAATCATTTGCTTTTCTACTTCCCCTCTCAAGTGTGCATAATGCAGGTCCCAGAAGCTACATGATGTGTGATGGCTTCATCACTCTGATGGCTAATGGAATGTGTGGGCACATATGAGAATCCAGTTGTCTTTTATTAAGTCAGACACTATGCAATTCGTAAAAATGTAAATCAATGCCATTCTTTGCACTATTTTTCTTTTTTTTGTTGGTTGGAAAATATAGTTGTTTTTCATGAAAATGTTACTTAGGTTAACAAGTAATGAATTTATTGTAATTTTTTTAAAAGATTTTATTTATTTGTCAGAGAGAGAGAGAGCACAAGCAGGGGGAGCAGCAATGGGAGAGGGAGAAGTAGGCTCCCTGATGAGAAAGGAGCCTGATGTGGGACTTGATCCCAGGACCCTGGGATCATGACCTGAGCCGAAGGCAGATGCTTAACTGACTGAGCCACCCAGGTGTCCCTGTTATTATATTTTTAAATTAATAAATATTTAACATTTCTCAGTTTTAATTTCTAATAAGGTATATATTGACAGATAAACATAAACAAAAGCTATTTTTTTGTTTTTAAAATTATTTATTTTTTAAAGATTTATTTATTTTAGAGAGAGAGAGAGAGAGTGCGTGCGGCTGTTGGGGGGGGAGGAGCAGAGGGAAAGAATCTCAAGCAGACTCTCTGCAGAGCACAGAACCCAATGTGGGGCTTGATCCCACAACCCCGAGATCGCGACCTGAGCCAAAATAAGGAGTTGGATGCTTAACCAACTGAGCCACCCAAGTATCCCTTTAATTTTTTAAAAAGTTTTATTTATTTTTTAAAGATTTTATTTATTTATTTATTTGGGAGAGAGAGAGCACAAGCAGAGGGAGCAGCAGAGGGAGAGGGATAAGCAAGCTCTGCAAGGAGCCCAATGCAGGGCTTGATCCCAGGACCAATTTTTTTTTTTAAGATTTTTTTTTTTTTTTTTAATGTAAGCTCTACACTCAACATGGGGCTCGAACTCACAACCCTGAGATCAAGTCATAGGCTCCACCGACCAAGCCATCCAGGTGCCCCAAACAAAAGCTATTTGAAGGTGCTCGATAACTTCTAGGATATAAAGAAGTATTGAGAATACAAAAAAAACTTATGTCCCTTCTTTCCAGGTATAGAACACATACTTTTTAATTGAGTATTCCTAAAAATGTTCAGCTTCTCTAGTGATACGAATGTAGCCCTATAGGATTTGCTGGCAAACTTTCCTTCTTCCTGGTATTTATTGACTAAAGATATTGCTATCCTTGAGCAAATCTCACAATTGAGAAAGAAAGAAATGTGGATTCTCTAAAGCCATTATCAATATTTGTCATTATATCATGTTATGTTACATAATGACTTCTTATATTTAGTCAAAGACTGTGAACTAATATAGTGGGTTGATTGCATACTTTTATAAGCTGCCAAAAACAAAGCACTGAAAACAAACTGAATTTCTAGTGGCAGAATCAGTACTCAGGATCAAAATCAACTTTTTAAAAAAAACTGAGGTACAAGTGAGACAGATATTAAGTATTCCACACTCACCGAAACAGTTACTGAATCCTGTACATCTTTATGACTAACCAACTGAACATTGCCATCTTCGTAATAGTGAACCTGTGTGAGACAATGGTTGAGCAAGTTTATGTGTAGTTCATATAGAAACCTATTGCTAAGGTATGAATCCATGCTTTAAGCCATGCCCAATCTTTTTTTTTTTAAAGCCATCTCCAATCTTTACCAACTCTGAACAAAATATTAATATGACCAACTGTAACTCACAATGGTGGTTAAAATTCATAGAACACTTTAAATTTTTAAGAATTCTCACTTTTCTTAGCAGGGGAAACTGATTATTAATTAAGTTCAACAAATATTTATTATGTGTTATTACATTCCAGGCACTGTGCTAGTATTGTGAATACAAAGACCTTAAATAAGATTCCACTCTTAAGAGTATTAAAATAATTAAAATAAAACCTAACATTAGTTTTTCTCTGTGAAAACCAAGGAATTTTAATGGATCCTAATCCCTTATACATCCCTCCACATATACAATCATTAATATTGGTAAGTAGATCTGACCAAGTGCAGGAAAAACTTAATTGACAGTTAAAGACAAATTGAGAAAAAATATGCTACTGGCAAATCAGACTACAAAAAAGCAAGACAAAAGCAGTTCTGAGGATGTATGGTAAAGTGGGGTGCTACAATTATGAGACCAATTAGCAAGAAGGAGGCATACACAAGAGACAGACTAACCAATGACATATCAGGAAGTTTTGGCAACTTACAAGATAGGTTCAATCATCTTAACATGGCTACAAACTGGCCACATAAAATAGGATGAGAGTATCCTTTTGTTATGTGCATTTGAACAGGGTCTTGCAAATAGGAGTTGTCACCTAAGTGGACAAGTAGAGAAGGACATCTAGCAAGGGGATAAAAAAAGTACGAGAGAATGGTTTAGTTTAGGGAAGAATAAAGAACTCACTGTAGATGAGTATGTGTGGGAGGGTAGTGTGGCAGGAGACAGTGCTCTGATGTGAGGTGGAGACAGACTCTGAAAAGCAAACTGCCTTATAAACCATGTTAAGAGTCCAGACTTTATCCTATTAAAGGTGATGGGACTCAGGGAAAGGGAATGTTTTAGAAAGATTACGCTTGTGTTATGAAGAAAATCACGTGGAGGGAGTGAAACTGGGGCATAATGCTAGAATAGTAGTCTAGGTACTGCCCGTTTCCTTCATCTAGTCCAGGCCACCAGGAGACATTTGGACAAAAAGGAATGTTTGTAGAGATAAAGCAGAAAAAAAGAACTGTACCTGCACTACTACAGCTACTGAGTCCTTACTCTACATTAAACACTATGCCAAACATTTTAGTTATTACGTATATGATCTCATTCAATCTTTACAAAAACTCTGAAACAGGGACCATTGTTATTCCTATTTTTATTTTTTTAAAAGATTTTATTTATTTGACAGAGCACAAGCGGGAGATGGGGGGGTTGGCAGGCAGAGGGAAAGGGAGAAGCAGGCTCCCTGCTGAGCAAGGAGCCTGACACTGGGCTCGATCCCAGGACCGTGAGATCATGACCTGGGCTGAAGGCAGACGCTTAACTGACTGAGCCACCCTGGCGCCCGTTATTCCCATTTTACAGATAAGGAAACTGAGGCTTGAGGCAGTTTAATAACTTATCCATGTTCACATATAGAGTAGGAAGAGGAACTAGAATATGAATTAGGTCAAATTCCAGAACTAAAACCATGTCCAACATGCATAATACCTCCCACTGTTAAGTTCTGTCACAAAATTAGAAATTCCCTGATCCAGGTAGAAGTAACATGTCTCATTAGGGACACTCTTCTAAGATATCATTAGAAGGGGATTAAAACAGTCAAGCCTTCATCTAGGCAGAAACCACGATCCTATTAGCAACAAAAGGACTTCCCTGGGCAATATGAATCCATACAGAGCCTTATTTAAGGGGACAAAAACCGGTGACTCTGTCCAGATGCGCAACACAAACTAGACTTTCCATACCTTCTCCAAACACTTACATTTCATCTTTTGGCTTTCTAAAGGAGTTTAAAGAGAAAAAGACAACTTAAGAATACACTGGAAAAGCAGGGAGTTGATAAATGCCTGTAATACCTACATGCAAGAATCAGAACAGAAAAGATCTGGGCAAAAAAGACTGGGCTAAGTAATGATGACATATAAAGGTTAAAATTCCAACAGACAAGTGAGATAGGGAAGCCGAATGAACTCCATTCTAGAAAGGCCCTTTTTCTGCTGTTTCTCTGCTAAGTCCTATTTACTCATGTTCTCATACTTTGCATCTGAGTAAACCAAAGAAGCTATGTTCCCACTCCAAGGGGACACAAGAAAGTTAATCATTTTCTAGGTTTCATCCCAGGCCCCCAAATACCTGATAACATCTAAGAACCGGATCCCAAGCACATTCTGGGACATTAGCTTCGAACAAACCTTGGTTGACACTGGCATTAACACACCCTACCTTTGGTGATTTATGGAATACACCTATTGTTCACCTGGCACTCACCTTTAACTGGAAACTACCCTGAATTCCTGAAGGAACATGTACCCTGGATCCCTTTCCAGTATAAATCCCTAACCCCAAGTGATGGGGAGACTCACTTTTCCTTTTCTGAGTCTCCCAGACACTCCATCTGCTAACTTACACTATTCAATAAACTCTGCTCTCACTTCCTCCTGGCTTGAGTTTCATTTCTATCCTATGCAAAACCAAGGACCCCCCTGGTTGGTCCTATGGGGCCCCCTCTGAGTCTTCAGATCTGGCTTGCCTATGTTACAAGGACAAGGATGTTCAAAATACAGGTGGGTCACACCCAGACACTAGTTTTGTTTGATCATTTTTTAACTAGAAACTGAAAGTCCAGAGGCTGAAAAGAACACTAGGAAGAGGAGTGAGTACCAACAGGATGAGGGATATTTAAAAAAATGGAGCTCTGTCCAGAGAAGAAACAAGGACTTACATATTTGAGACAGGTGTCTCAGAACCCATCTGAAAGAAGGAATTATGCAAGGCACATCTTTTTTTATCCAAAAATAAGGACTATGCAACTGGTTTGCATGGGTCGTAAGAACTAGAACACGGACAGGAATATAGAATAAGGCCACTAAGGCTTGCTGTTTATAAACTCAGTTGAAAATTCTAAAAATATTGACTTCATTATCTAATACACCAATGACAAATTAAGCTTAAACTCTGAGGATTGCTTTTTTTTTAATTTTTAAAAATTTTTAAAGATTTTATTTTTAAGTAATCTCTATACCCAGCACGGTGCTTGAACTTACAACTCCAAGATCAAGAACCAGCTGGGTGCTGCAAACTCTGTTGTAAAACAAAACTTTTTCTTTTTTGGGCAGGGAAGGGAACAAACCATTTTACTGAGGTGCCTAGGGGGAGGAGTCCAAGGGCTGGGAGGACAATGACATCAGATATCCTCAATGAGATCCTTGGCCAGAATCTCCCCAGCTTCAAAGTTGCCAAAAGCAATAAAACCTTTCTAGGTCTCATCTGCTAATAAAAATTTCAACATGACTATCATCAACATAAATCCTCAGAAAGTGTTGACTTCCCAGAACTACCCTTTTGCCTATAGAATAACCAAAGGGCTAAATATCTTAGTGACTTTTCCAAGTAATTCTCACTCTGATTTTTAAGATACCTATATGAAGCAAGCTTTTCCCCAAGGTGTGATGAGCCAATCTGGTTAGAAGGTGTAAATAAGGTCTAGGTACTGACCCCTATTTGAAGTCTTATCAGAAACTATCACCCTTTATGACATATACACTTAATTTATTGGTTTGCATTGGCAAAGTTGAAACACAAGCAACTACTTCCTTCCAGAAGAAAATAAAGTTACATAAATTTATAGTAAGCTACTCGGTTAATGCTAATGTCACAGTTACGGGAGATCTAAAGCATTAGGCTACTCATATATACAGTAAACAGAAGTAGAATAATATATATGTTGTCTTAGGTTGGGCTCCCCCAGAAGCATACCCCTAGACAAAGATTTGAGAGGAAGTAGTTTATTTGGGAGGTAATCTCAGGAAGGACTAGTAAGGACTGCGGTCTTGAGACACAGAAGGGAAGAAAGTGTTATAGGTGTGGGCCCTGGACTCTGGAAGACTAAGCAGAACATGCTTCAGAGTTGTCCGACCTAATGGGTGAGGAAGCTGGCATATTTATCTACCAACTCTTGTATGGCACTACAGATTGCTCCAGAGCTGTGAATTTAACATTTCTAGCTTGCCTCATCTGAGTCGGGCATGTTTCTGTGGCTAGGAAAAGTTCCCAGGAAGAAAGCTGCTGTTACTTGTAGCAGGGAGCTATCCTGAAAAGAGTGGGTACAGATGATATCTACCACATATGCTCTGATTAAATTATACCGTTTAAAAAGGCAGCTCTTGCTAATTGTTATAAAAGCAAGTCTTAACGCAATATAATAGAGGTACGATTAAATACTGATTTTCTCAGTTATCATTAACTTTTAATCTGACCTGAGAGTTAGTTGGGCTTAAGAATTAAATCACCCTCAATTTGAAAGTCAAATCTCTGCTAGGATATCAGAAGACTCTGACCCAGACAGGCATCCAATGAATTAACAAGCTCCTTATTCACCTGCCTATCTGTTCTGAAACAAGCATTAGAAATCTGCTCAGTTTGGTTACTTATATTCCATACTTGATGACACCTGGCAATTCTCTCTAGTTCCTCTGTTATTTACTTGATTTTAAAATCTTCTGTTATTACTGTAAAAAACAAAACAATAATCCCATTCATGTAGCTCTTTTCAGAGCAAAGAGTTAAGTTTTATGTCTATGTACACACTTAAATGAGGTAATATACAAGGGACCCTAAGTAAGTTATAGCAGCTGCTACTTAGTCACTTAATAATTGTTTTCCTCTTTCTTAGAACTGCTATTTTTAAAAATTATTATTATTATTATTATTTAAGTAGGCTCCATGCCCAGTGTGGAGCCCAATGCAAGGCTTGAACGAACTCACAACCCTGAGATCAAGACCTGAGCTGAGATCAGGAGCAGATGCTTAACTGACTGAACCACCCAGGTGCCCCCAGAACTGCTATTTGATAATTCCTGGAAAAACCTTAGGTTATATTTGGAAGAGAAAAATAATAAGCAAGCAGTACATACCACATGACTATCCTTTATCAATCCAGAATAGCTCTTTTTAACTACCTCCCCACAAAGGAGGCTCCTATTTCTATTTACTACCGTCCATCTTCCTTTGCATCTATCTACATATAGTTGTTCCTTACTTCAAATACCAACTTCCATGTTTGTTTTCAAGATGTGACATTTTAACATGGCCTATTAACATGTGGGGTCTCACCTGAATCTTAAGTACTCCAACCACCTGGGCTGTAGGTGGTGTGATGGTGAACTTCCACTCTGATCTCCAACGACCATTCCTATTAAAACACATACAAGACTGCATAGTTAGCTATTAGCCCAAGAAAGAGGTGATTTGCCACTAAGGCAGAGAATTTGGGAAAGGGGGAGAAAAGTCATTTCCAGTTTGACATATCGAAGGCTCTGTCTACTCAAATATAAGTCTATATCCAAGTGCCTAAACATAAGCCTTTTCTAAGTTATTTTGACTTTCATTCTTCAGTCTTGGAATAGAAAACCATGCCTATACTGTTCATGGGAGGTTCTTCCACACACAGATGGATGGGCTGCTGAGTTTTGCAATGAACTCACGTATTATTAACCAAACCCAAGTAAAACTCAGATTTTCAACTAGGCACTTTATTAATCAATCACTTATTCTCACTCGATATTAAGAGCACTTTTTAAAAAGATAGATTATAAAATCTCAGAATTGAAAGGAATCTAAATGTTCATATCTAAATCCCTCGTTTTACAGATGGGGAACTGAAGTCTCTCAGTCAAATAAGTTATCCCAAACTAGTTAGATTAAAAACCAAGTTTCAACTGCCAGTTTGGTTTCTTTCCAATATAAGTTAGATACAAATAGAAGAGAACATCTGCTTTCTTACCAGAAGTTTTTAGGCTGAAACTGGTGGCTTTCAATACATGCAATAATGGTCTGTTGCCCATCTATAGTTTTAGCATAAACCTATTGTTAAAAAAAAAAAAAGTTAGACTCTGAAAACATTTAATCTAAGTGACAAACACTGTACAAAAGCAGCATACTAAGTTCTTGGGGGAGACAAAGAATCAGGCAGGATGAGCTTATAACTCACAAGACTTCATGGGATGTGAACACAGAGCAGAACATGTTTAGTTCCACAAGAGACCCAGGTACAATGAACGCAGAAGGAAATACCACTCCTGACTAGGGGTACAAGGGAGATGCCAGTTAGGCTGGGCCTTACAAGACAGGTGAGATACTCATAAGCAGAGACTGAGAGGGAAGATGAGTAAACTGTTCAGACAGGAAACTGGGGGATTGTTCAGTGAAATGGTGATAATCCAGGATAATAGATTTAAGTCCCGTAGTTCTACATGTAAGGTAAAAAGTCTGGACATTATTCTACAGGCAACGGACAGAACCAAAACAACATAACCGGAACAATGGAGGAAAAGCTGAAGTTGGTTAGGAGGCCAGAGCATTAAATCTAGGCAATATGTCAGGGTAGTATCAGTGGGTATCAGGATGCAGAAGCATAACCAAGTCTAGCAAAATAGTGCAAGTGAAGGGCAAAAAAGGGGAAAGAGCCAAAGTATTTGCATGCTGAGATGACCAGAAAGATGGTAGTGTCATTAACAAACTGGGAAATTCAGCTAGTAGTTAGAAACCCCAACTGTTCCTTAATGTGGAAGAGGAAAACAGAAATGCAATACAAAGGAAAAAAAAAAAAAAAAAAAAAAAAACAAATGGTGCTTTACAGTCCACAAAATGTTTTCACGTCTACTTTCCCTATACTGAATAACTATGAGCTTTCAAGAGAGAGAAATACAGCAATGGGGAATGCCTACATTTACAAAGTTTGGGGAGAAGAAAAGAAGTACAAACAGACTTAGAATGAGTAAAGGGTGCTGACAGAGCAGTGTAAGCAAAAGAGAATTTCTGGAAGTAGCTGGTTGGTCTCAGTGTGAAATAGCATACGGAAGTCAAGGATGAAGGAAAGGATACTGAGTCAGGCAATTCAGGAACCATCAATAACCTCAGAGAGAAATTTCTATAGAGACTGAAGCCAAAATTCACAGGGTTAAGAAGTAGATAGGTAATGAAGCAGTGGCACTAGTAGGAGCAGAATGCTCCCAGGTGTGGTTATGTAGCAGAGAGAGATAAGGGAAGGAAAGAAGTGGAGGAGAGTGAGGAGGAGCAAGAGAGAAAAAGAGAAGAGAAGTAACTTACAGAAATTATTATGACTGAAGAAAAGTTTGTTCTCCTTAAGGACAGGAGAAATAAAAATATTTATTTCTAGGTAAAGAGAAATGTATCAGATAGGATAATATAAAATCAAGAATAAGGATCCGTCTTCCTAAGATTAAGTACAGTGGAAGAGGGAAGATTGCTGAGTGTAGAAAGAAGAGAAAAAGATTTCATGTCAGTCTTACTAAAATGTGGGGGATCAGAAAGATGCCTAAGGACATTGAGCATGGTTTGGAACACGCGATATAGAAAATATCATAGGGAATATTGAGGTGACATTAAGAATTATGAAGCAGGACAGCTCTGAGGA